AGTATTAAAGGTATTACTTGACTTTTTTTGATCACTTAAAGTCAAGTTTTTGAGTGAAAAGGTTTATAAACAAAAGGGAAAAGGTAGAAGTGACTCTTGAAGTCATACTTCAAGTTGTTTTAATGAAAGTATTAAGATTTTATTAGCAAAGAAGTATAGAAACTTCTTGCAAACATCTTTTTTGTGTGTGATTAGAAGATTAGCAGAAAAAGTTAGAAGATTATAGTTGTTGTATTTAAATTTAATAAAATAAAATTTTTTAAATTTGAAGTTAAAAAATATTTCCAAAAGTAAATATATTAGTTAAAACTTTTTTATTAAAATAAAATTAAATATATTTAATTTAATTTAGTTAATCAAAGCAGTTATGGTTGAATATATTTTGAAATAGGTTCAAAATATATTAAATTGAATTCAAATTGATTTTGAATTGAATTAAATTAAATTAGATTTGAATTTAGATTTGTATCAAACTGAATTGGATCAGATTAAACTATTATAGTTTTGAATCAAATCAAATTAGTTTAAAATAAATCTGATTTATATCTGATTCATATTTATAAAAACTGAATCAAATCAAACCTAGTTAAAATCCAATTCAATTTGATCCATTGTGATTACTAGCTTTAATTTAGCTATTAAATATATATGACTTTGTTTTCAATAAATTGGAATGACTTCTTATTTCAAAAAGTTATTAAACATTCTTCTCAAAAATTTTTTTCATTTCTGATCTAATTTTTTAAACATTTTATAACTAATTAGTGATCTGCATAAAGCTTTATTATTTGAAAGTATGTATAATATTTTATTTAATTCTTCTTGAGAAATTGGTTTGAGTAATTCTTTATATCAAGCTTCTTATATAAATTTTTTGGACCTGTACTTATCTTTACAATTCTTTGGTAGACTATCATAACTAGCATTTTTTTTTTTTTATTTGAAATTATGTTTTTAGTTGCAAGTTTGTTGAAAGCTATTTTGCATAATAGTTTTTCAAAAGATTTCTAGAGCCTATTCACCTAGTTTTTCTTTTTTTTTAATTAGATTTTTTCTAAAGCAAAAGTTTGAGTATTGTCTAAACTTGTTATTTAAACTTTATTAATATACTTGCTATTGTAAAGAGAATAATTTCTTTATGTCTATTTATTTTTGAATATTTGTGAAAGGTTTATTGATTTTACTTCTTGTGAACAGGTTTTTATTATTAAACATAATTACAAGCATGATGTAATTACTCCAATTATATCTTTTTATGTTTTAATTGTCAAATTGAAATAAGGAATAGCTTACTAGATTAAATAATATCCAGATATAATTTATTCTGCTATTGTTTGTTGAGTCCCATCTTGTAGAAGTTTTGTTTCTATCTTCTTATATGACTTGTATATCTATAATCTTTATTTATTCAAAAAGTTGAACAAAAGAATACTGAATATTATAATAATTTAAGTATGACTTTAATGAAAAATTATATATCTTCTAATAAATTATAAATTACATTGAAGTCTCTTATTACAATTGTGAGATAACCTAGCTTATATTTTTTTTTGATAAGGCTTGTTAATTTTTTCTATATATTTTTGTTTTTTTTTTTTATCTAATGGAATATAGATTTGTATGTTATAAATTTTTTTTTGTTTCATGAACAGGTTGACAGCAACTGTATATATATCTTCTTTTTCTACTGATACTATTTTTTTTCCAGGTCTTTCATGATCAAAAGACCAACTCTTGCTTCAAATTGTATCTTATTATTGATACTATGAAAATACTTATAAGCTTTTGATTGTTAAAGGCCTATTTATATTAGCTTAAGTTAATTTTATTTTGCAATACCTAGTTTTTGTTCTTTTATTTTCTCAATAAGATTCTATTAATTTGTTTTATCTATAATATCTCTAATACTATATATATCTATTCTTATCACTTTATTAGAAATCTCATTATCTTTATTATTTGCTTCTATTGATTTATTTTAATTTCTTTTACTTAAAAATATTTATCATTCCTCATATAAAAATGATATTATATCTAAATTATTATTATTTTCTGTCATATTATTATATTCATTTGAAAGTTTATTATTCTTCTAATTTATCTATTTTATTGTTTAATTTTTCAAGATTAGCTAAAATATAATTTGGAAAATCTTATGAAACTTCTACTTCTGATTCTGATTCATTTCTATAGTGATTGTATTTTTGATTTATTAGTTTCCTATTGCTTTCTATTGCAAAATATATATTAGATCTGTTGGTTTCCTTTTTTATTCTTTTATTATAATAATATTTAGTTTGTCCTCAATTTGTTTGACTTTGATTTTTATTAGATATAGTTATGGATTTTATGGATTTAGTATTTGAAGATATATCTAAAGCTAAATTCTTATTTATTTCTATTTTTCTTTTTAAGTTAGTATAGTATTTGATACTCCAAGAAAAATATAATCCCTGTAGAAAAATATATTACTTGCATGCATTATCTCTATCTTCTTTTGTTGAAAAGCAGACTACTGCAAAGCTCTATTTTCTAAATATAAAGGGATCTTTGAGTACAGTATGTAATATACTTTATTTTAAGTATCATTTAATATCTTAACTATTAAACTAATATATATTTTATTTATATTTAGAAGTCTTGTTAAGTTATAGTTTCTATTAATCAATATATATAATGTTCTTATTATTTAATTTTGATTTTGAGAATATAACTTTTGACATTTTTGTATCAATTGAAGTTATCTATTTTTTTTTTAGATTAAGATTAAGATATTTATACTATTTGATATATGTTTTAATACTAGATTTAATGTTTATCTTATAGATATAAATATTTTAAATCTTTTCATATCTTTTTAGATATTTAGTTATATAGTATTTAATGACTTTTTGATTTACATCAATCAAATAGACTTGTTAGATAGGAATATCTTCTTCAGTTTTGATTTCTTGAAAGATTTTTTTATCTAGATCTCTTCTAGTTTTGTATATATTACCTATAACTTATGGAGTTGTTTGTTGAATAGTAATATATATATATATATTTTTTAATTAGTCATACTGATTGAACTTTATTGAGAAGAATTTTTTGGAGAATATAAAATAGATTACAAGAGGCTATACTTATAACTATCAACTATACTACCTTCTTTATTCAATATAATCCAATTTTACTCACTACATATATATTAATACCATCTTGTCAGCTGCTTTGCTATACCCAGGTATTTAGTATTCCGGAAGAGCTATTAGGAACTATCATTTTTTTTTTATTTCAAGGAGCATTTGTTTTTATTGTATATCCTTAGAGTGTAATTGATTCTTGCAATAAAAATGTATTCAAATCTTATATGATATACTTGCTGTATTCAATTTCTTCAGAGGTTGGGTCACTAGATACTCCAATCTCTATACAATCTAATATAAAGCCCTGATAATAATTGATATGTTTTGTAACAACCCAAGTCTTCCAATAATCATTTTTAACCACTCTTCAAAGATAGCCTATAAGAGTTTTCCTTGATCAAATGAGATCTTGGGTCTATTCCAAATATATTCACTCCTGTAGTTTTCATCATGGGTGCTTTGCTTTCTCACAATTCAAGACCAAACTAGTCCTATTCTTCTGATAACTTTCATAACTAGTATAGATAACCAAAGTTTTCTAATACCTCCTATGAATACAATAATTTAAAAAGAGGTGAATTCTTTATTAGACTAATAGGATCTTAAAGTGATTATTATTATTTCTGATATTTTTTTTATAGCTTCACATATTTCAGATAGCATGGACATTATAGCTTCTTTTGTCCTAGTGCTAAAACCAATTAAGACTTGTGTAACCTATTTATTACACTGTAATTGGATGGTGATATTTAATAGGTTAGGTGTATGCAGAAATATACAGTTGCTTCCAAAAGTTTGAGTCTGCTTACTATGTTTTTATTATAAATTTCAACTTTGCCAATTTTTAAATCCTTAACTAAACAGTCAAAATTATAAAATTTATATATATTATATCTTAATACTTATTCTATTTTTCATATTTTTATAAAAATTTTTTTATTAATACATTCTAAAGTTTTATTATTGCTAAATATCTTTATTTTTTTATTAATTATCATATAATTTACGATAACAGCCAATCAAAATCCCCCAAAAGTAAAAATTTGATAAAGAAAGAAATTTTTTAACTATAATAAAACTTTAAAAATTATATATAAAAAATTTTTAAAAAAAATATAATAAATAAAACTAGTATTAAGATATAATATATATGAATTTTATAATTTTTGATTGTATAATTAAGGATTTAAAAATTGTCAAAGTTGAAATTTATAATAAAAACATAATAAGTGGACTCAAACTTTTGGAAGCAACTGTATGTGAGATAACTGATAGAAGCTTGTTTACATCCTTTTATTGATATGATTCTACTGAACCAATTAACTTACAAGAAGCTTTTTATTACTCAAAATTCAAGGTCAAATTGATGTAAACAAAATTTTTTAGATAAAATCAAAAAAGAATACTGTTAGAATCCAGACTATGACAAAGAAAGTAGATGAAGTGTATTAATAATAGCTTTTTTATCAATCAAAAGAGTTTTATAATATTTCTCCATATACAGTTAAGTGATAGAGTATTAGTTTCTTTTTTTTTTAGAACTTTCTTGCCATTGGTAGAAAAGATATATGTATTACTTTTGGTCACAGAAGTCAGGTTTTCATTAAAGGAGGAGTATTAACAGAATAGGAAGAAAACTTGAAATAACTCTTGAAGTATTCTTCAAGTTGATTTAAGGAAAGTAATAAGACTTTATTAGTCAAGAGGAAAAATAACTTCTTGCAAATATTTTTTTAGTATGTGATCAAAGAATTAGCAGAAAGATGTTAATGTCAAGATTTTTTATTGAAAGTATAATATATATATATATACTTGTTATAATATTACTAACTTGAAATTAACATAAGTATTAATTACTAGTTTAAGATTTTTTTACTGAAAATAATATTAATGCTATATTAATACTGTACTTATAAATAATATCTTGCATTAATATATACTTATTTATATTGGTTTAAGATTACAGTATATATTGAAGATATATAATATACTTGATTTATATAATGTATATAGAATATATCAATTTAAAATTTTATTTACTTACTCTTTGCAATAATTTTTATAATTTTTTAACTTTTATTAACTTGTTTTATGCTATCTATATTTTTTTTCAATTAATAATAATAATAATAAAATAATAATAGTAATATAAATAATATCAATAAAATATTGCTTATTTATTTATAAATATAGACTAAAAACTTGTTCACCAAATAAAAGAAGATAGAAAAAAAGAATTCAAAAAGAAATATAAAAAATGTCCAAAAAAAGAAAATTTGATCTCTATAAGCACAAATGGTGAAACTCACAAAGAAAAAAATAGTAAACTGGAAGCTTATCAAAATCAAAGCACATTTCAATAACCCTTATAATAAAAAAGCAAATATTTTAATCAAAGAAGTCCTAAAACTTCATTAATCAAATAGAGAAATCTTAACTCCTACAAGATTATTGTGTAGATCAGGTGGCAAAACAAGACCTTAAATGATCCAATTAGATAGTTTATTAAAAATACAAAAATAATAAAATAACAGCTTATCAATGGATTTAGTAAAATCAAATTGAGAAAAAATAAAACCATTTGATTTTAGAACAGCAAAACTATACATGGAATTTAGTGTAAGAAAGAATAAAAGATAGTTATATATGTGATACATTTTTTAAAAAATCTTAACAAAAAAGCTTTCTTATCAAATTAATCAATAATAAGCTATCAATATTATATAAATTGGCTATAAAAAGATTTAACCTATATAAGTAAGTAAAGTGTATTGCATGTGATTAACAGGATAAAATAATAGAATACTTGCTAGAATGTTCAACCTATAAAAATCAACTTCAAGAAATATAGAATAAAGGAATAGATAGAACTCTCAGAAACTTTAAAGAGCTTCTATAAAAAAAAAAGAAAGGAGGTTAAGAAAAAAATAATAGACTAAATATTAATAATCAAAAAGAACTAGAAGAGTTTGATAAGTGAAACAGATTTCTATAACTAATCGAAATACTTCAAGTTTTTGTATTGATCTTGTAAGAAAGAATTTTATTCTAGAAATAGTAGATCAAAATATCATGACAAATGCATAGGAAAAGAAGCTAGAAAATGGATAATAAAGATGCAAAAAAGAGTTTGCAATCAAGTTCAAAAAAGAATTTGAAACACAAGATATGAAAAGATTATAGAATGGAAACAAACTCAGGGGATCAGTAGACTTTTAAATAAAAATGTACTTGCTATATGTATTTATTTGATTAATAAACTAACAATCTAGCCTGACTGTAGGTATTACAAAAAAAAAAGAAAGAGTTTTATTAATTGGTATATTGAAATAAATTTATAAATATTAGCTATACGAATTCCTAATTATTGATATAAAGATTCAAATTAAATATATTTTATAAATATATTGTATATTACAATGTATTAATTATCAATATTTTTTACGATATAACATTTATTTATTTTCTAAAAGCAATGATTTTATATCTTTTGTTTTTCTCATGGATTTTTAATAAAAATCAAATAGATAACCTTTTTAAAGTGATTCTTTAAAAAAGCAAAATGATAAATATTTATTTAAAAATTTTAATAAATATAAAATATATGTAAAAATCATAATAAATATAAAATATATGTAAAAATCAATAAACACTTTCAAAACGATATGTTATTTAAAAATTTTCTATAGGATATACTGTATTAATATTTACAATTATTAAAAAAAAATTAAATGTAATTTCAACAATTATACGTAAATTAATTATGACAAAATTCATCAGAGTTTATTCTAAATAACCCAAGAGGTAAACCAGGATATCCATCCAAACCCAGTATTCCATACCCTTTTTTTCAGAATATAAAACACTACAAGTATGAACACGAACAGACCAAACAATATAAGCAATCTGTCGGTCCAATCAATCCGTTCCAATTTGGTGATTAATTGCTTAGATCCACGAATAACTGAGGTAAAACCTCGATATTCGTTGTATGTTGACTTTAAGGCTTTGGATGACTCGTCTATTAACAATTAAAGATCAGTCGTTCATTCAAATTATGTGATCAACAGAAAGTCCATTTGCGTATACAAGTAAGTTTTTTCCTCACCAAGTACTTTTGCTGAGTAGACACTACGCTCGATCTCCTGTTGCATCAATTGTGTGGTACGTCGCAATGATTCCGTAACATCAGTGGCCGAATGTAAAAGTGCATCTTCCGAACTAAATGGATATTGAACGATCTGAAATTAAGCGGTAAAAAAAAAAAAAAAATGCAACACAAATAATATATTACTAACGTGAGATTACGCCTTCGCATTTCAAAAGCTTGATTTCGTCCATCATTACGTCCTAGCAGCATTTCACGTTCTATTTTCGCTTCTCTTTCAATATTTTGTTTAGAGGTCAAGATGGCTCGTCGAAGTGATACCTGTAGTCTGTGTCAAGCAAGTTAAAATGCCTATTTATTGAAAGTGTCAATAAATTGAAAGAAAACTCTCAAATGCTTACTGTTTGTATTGATCTTCATTTCTGAGCAGTCGTTGTAGAATCGCTTGCCTATCCTTCTCCTTTTCCTGTTCATCGGCTAGTTGTTTGATATCCTATTGTTTGATAAATTGGTTCCGGCATTTTTAGCTGTTGCAAATGAATAATTCTGCCCGTCGATTGATTCTTACATCAATTAGTTTTCCGAGCTCCTTAATTCCATCTCTAATCTCGGCTGAAAGTTCTTGTTGAGCTGAAAAAATTATTACATTCTTTAGTTGCGTTATTTTAGCTTCTAACTCAAGTTGACGTTTGTTCAGGTTTTCGAAGAGTGCGATCATCTCAGGTGACAGACGACGAGGCAGTTACGTGTAGGGATCTTAATCAGTCCGGAAATTTCCGAATATTTTGTCAAACTATTTTCGGAATAATTAGTCTTTCTTAATTGGACTGATCAGGTGATCCAATAATTGAGGTGCATTAATTTTTTATTTGCGGTAGCATTCAACCGGACGAACAAAATAAAGATGTCAAGTAAGAAGGAAAAGGTGCCTTCCCTAGCAACAAAAACAGTTCGAGTTGTGTTTGCCGCACTGCTATTAGATATTTTAGCTTTTACTATTATTCTTCCTCTTTTTCCTAGATTATTACATGATTACCGGGAAAGAGAACAAGGCGATGAGGTATTTATACCAAATGTTATTAGATCAAAGTTCTTTTCATCTAATAAAATACCCGTTTTACATTTTTAGAACACGCTGTTGAGTTGGTTTCTTCATCAAATACAAATTTTTAGGAAATTTACAGGAGGAGGGGTCAACCCCAAGTGGGATTTGGTACTTCTTGGAGGCGTCCTAGGATCGTTGTACTCTTTTTTGCAATTTGTAGCATCGCCACTTATAGGGTCCTTCTCGGATAAATATGGAAGAAGGAACACGTTATTGGTTACCATGGTTTGCAACTTTTAACTATCACTGGAATATCAATAAATGCATAATCAAATTGAGATCTTAATCAAAACTCCGAATATAGATTGGAAATATACTATCGACATTTATATGGATCTTTTCTAAATCATTTGGTTGGTTTGTGTTATCACGAGTAGTAGGTGGATTAAGTGAAGGCAACATACAATTATCTGTCGCGATAGTCTCAGATGTAACGACCCAAAAGACTAGATCAAGAGGATTGGTTAGTAAAGCAATCGTCGATTATTATTAGTTTTTGTAAATTATGGTCATACGGAACTAATTCATTCGGGTCGATTTTAATTTTGTAGGCATTGGTAGGAATAGCCTTTGCTGTGTCTTTCACGATTGGCCCTGCTATAGGTGCTTTTTTTGCTTCAATTGACTTGGCCAAGACCTTTCCACAGCTTGTTGAATGGGGGCTAAATCCATATTCAATGCCGGCTTTGGTTGCCCTTCTTTTACTTGTTGTAGAGACAACATATTTGTACCTATTTTTACCTGAAACGGTTAAAACGTCCACAAAGAAATATGATGATTCTAAACCCAGCGCAGGAAATTCTCAGGGCTCAATGAAGCAACGTCTTAGAAATTTAACTGTGTTGAACTGGACTCACTTTATATTCCTCTTTTTCTTCTCCGGAATGGAATTTACCCTTACATTCCTAACATTTGACCTATTTGATTTTACAAACATGCAAAATGGTAAATTATTGGGATATATAGGAATACTGTCTGCCATGATTCAGGGTGGATATGTCAGGCGTAAAGCACATGAGCTAGGAGAGAAAAGATTGGTTGTTCAAGGCGTGCTGTCTTGTGCGATCTCTTTAACAATTATAGCTTCATTAACCAGAACATCCAACGGAATCCTATGGCTTTACATTGGAGCAACTTTTCTGTCATTCACGTCATCTACGGTGGTGAATTGTTTAACGTCCATAGCTTCAATGCAATGTGACGACGAAGAAGTGCAACGAGAAGCTTCAACAGCCGATAATAGGGTGGTAGCTAAAGGACAAGCATTGGGAATTTTCAGATCATTTGGACAGTTGGGCCGTGCATCGGGGCCAATTGCTTCATGTGGGCTTTATTGGATGGCTGGATCCGAAAAATGTTATGGATTAGGCGCTTTGGCTATGCTAATCATACTAGGGATAGTGATACTTAAGGTCCCATTTGTTCAGAAAGCAAAACCAAAGGAAGAGTAATTTTTGGCATTTGAAATTCCAACAGACTTTATACACACTTTCTTTTCCCCATTTATTTATATTCATTAAAAATAGTTTTTTCTTCTCAAAATTCATTAAGTCGGAAAATTTTCAAAAAGAAAAAAAAAAAAAAAGGGTAACAAATAATATAGAAGTTTTTTTCTTTTATTAAAAAGTAAAATAAATCAAATTATACAGGCATGAAGAAATTTTCAGTTTTACGTGAAGTGTATATCGTTTCTAATTATTAAATAAGAAAAAAATGCTTTATTAGTTATTAAATACAATAAATACGCATAAAAACCTCTAAATTATTAATGTAATTTTAATAGTAAACATTTTTTTTTTTTTTTTTTACAAATTTTGATTTTCCAAGCAATAATTTGACAGTCATCTCTTGCTAGTATTATTTCAACAAATTAATAAGTACAAGTAGAATATATACAATTAGCCATTAGGTGAATTACAGTTAAAAATTTTCTTTAAAAAATTTATGTAACTTACATTATGTAAATTATTAAACTTGACAAGTTTTTTATGCGGCCAAGATCTATATATATATATCTCTATTTTTACCATATCCCCCAAAAAGATTCTAATTCACAACAGAACTTTGAACACGCGACAGCGGCTGATAGTGGATATTGAGAAATCCCAATTTTATTATCGATCCATTCATCAGCAAAGTTATCCGAGCCGTGGGCCATAGCGCCAACGGCAATGCAGATTGAGTGATCTGGAGGTAATGTGGGTAGATAATTTGATAGACGAACTGGAGTAGCATCATACGATAATGCTGCAGGATAAAATAATAATAATAATAATAATAATCAAATTTCAATTCACAACTCAAGGCATGGAAACTCAAGTCCCATACAGGAGGTGTACAAACCTAATTTCACACATTTTGTGGGAAGATAATTTGTCACCGGGTTTTTGATAACGCGTAATAATTTTTCATTGCCGTCCGTCGAATGTATACTGAGTTTGTGAATAAGTTGCACTACAAAAAGAAAAAAAGAATGAATGAGAATAGTGTATTGATGCCTATCTTTACATCTTTGCCCAAACAACCTACCCATGAGGCCCGAAAATCGCTTAAACGTTCGTGGGATTCGCACATGAGGGCTAACCTCTATAAGCACGTTATTTGTTGTGTGAATGTAAACTTGCATTAACCCGGCTTTATTTAAGGGACTATCCAACAATGCCATCATGCACTAAGAAAAAATTTATAATTAAATTTTTGAAAAACTTTCTTAAAGGAATCTTGGCTAGTACCTGGTGTGTAATATCGGGCCTATAATTTTTCGAATTGCCCAATTTTTGCAAAGCTTTTTGATGGTCGTCGCAATTAATCAGTTGATATTGAGGTGGTTTTGTGTTGGCAACCCTATAAGTCTCCAAACATGCTCGTTCTAACACTACTATCAATCTTCGAGTTGACTCTTTTTCTTCTAGTGTTTTGGGAATTCTTGGTATTTGCGGAACAAGATAGGCATCGGTTCTCATTTGAACGTTACTAATTCCACCGCTATTTGAAATATTTCCAAACTTTTGTCCGGGAACTGAATTTTGGGTTTCTTCTTCCGTCTGTGTGGCAACCGATACGAACTTCTTGCTGTCCTTACTGCTTGGAGCGGTGTGGGCTTCCATCTTAGTTGACTCTGATGATTCGAGGGTAGTTTTACTATTTTTATTATAAACCGGAATGGCAACTCCTTTGTTCCCTTTATGTTTTTTCTTCGGGTTACCTTCGTTTGTCATCTTGAATGATGGATAAAAGACGCGAATTTTTTTTTTTTTTTTTTTTTATCAATTTGTTCAGGTGATCATCTCGCCAGAGCCACAAATCGGAGCGAATTAAAATTCATGTGACCTTGTCTATTTGGTCACGTGAACAACGAAGAACTTCTTGACCGGGTCACATGAATTAATAGACGTGTGATATTTATCACGTGATAGGGTAATTTTGGCATTTACTTTGGCCAATTTAGCGCAAAGTCAACTTCGCGCCATCACAGTTTTGATCACACAGAGTGGTATGGGTCACGGGAATTAAATTCGCTTCGGAGTAACACCTTTTTTGATACTTATTAATTAAATGCAAATGAGTTCGCCAAGTAACATCCATCAAAGAACTTTTTGGAAATCTATAATTTGGCCAAAAGAAGATTAAACAAACGCGTGTAAATATTGGAATACCCTCTGTTCAATCAATCGCCGGAACATTTTGCAAGGTTCTTCGTTCTTTCCTGGTTTGTCCAAAATTTCACGAGAATGATCAAGTGCAACGCCACGACGGTAGCTAGAGCTCCGCGATCAAGGTCGCCAAACACTTTGGCGAACAGGAACGGAAGGTGATTATGGTGAATAATCCAGGGTTGACCTCATGATATTTCGCGACACCACATGCGCCCATTATTTCTTGGAATCCACTGGTAAATTTTTGACACGTCGGAACATTGGTGGTTCTTTTGTCATTCGGGATTGATGGTACCGTTGAATCTTACTCTTTTTAGCTTATGCAATGGTTAAAAATTTAACGCATATCCGAATAAATTGGTTAGGATAATATGCACCCGGTGATTTTTCTAAGAGCATCTTCGATATCATTCTTGGGACTAGAGGTCGCGATCGATTTTGCCCAAAGGAGAAAATCATCTATCATATACTGTAACTCCTGTCAAGTTCTCACGTTTCCTTTTGGGATTACTATCTGCGGGATAAAAGGATTCTGAGATTTCTCCGATCTTGTATTATATTTAAAAAGTATATATATATATTTTTTGATATTATCTTATAAAAACTTTATTATTTGATGAATTGAAATTTAAATGGTGAAGTAACTATTTTTCATAATTAAATTTATAAATCTAGTGCTTAAAATAGTGACATACAGTAAGTACCTCATAAGAGATATACTATTTTACATTAAAATTTATTTTTAACTCATGTTTTTCCTAATTAAAAAAAAAGTTGAAGAATACAATAATTTTCATCTGGACCAATTTAATCATCCATTTGCAAAAAGGATTTGATTGTTTTACTTACCACATTCGCCAATTGGTTTAATTCAAGTTGCAGGTCGCATGATCAGGGCTGACATCCAATATACAGTATCAATGATAACTACTCGTTAACACTATTCTTACGTAAGATGCATAAAGTGTGACTTCGAAGTAAAGCCTTTCTTATATAATAAAAATAAAACGAGTCTTTTATAATCCTTGTATTACTTGCTATGCGGTGTTTGAGTTGACAGGAATTGTTAATTCTCATTTTGGGTTTATAGAAATTAAAAAGGTAATTGGAACCGGAATGTTCTAAGATTATTTGATCTTCGATAATAATAAAAGATTTTTTGAATGAGTTCTAACTTCTACAATTAGATATATTAATGATTAACGACAGGAGAAACCGGTTTTACGGGTGCTATTTAATTTTATGTAGAAATTCGAAGTTCTGAACAACGATTATTATGCATATTCCCTCTACCCAGTCGATCTCTATAAAGCCATTTCTCTCACAAATGATTCCTGCAAACTTTCTCAGTCTATCCTCGCAATATAATGAAGAGGCGATTGAATTGCCCGAATGCCAGTATGAATTCCTTTGCTCAAATATCCATTAAAAAGTGTTGTATAATATTACTAAAGAATTCATGCACTCTTTGTAGATGGACATACAGGTGATACTTACAGTATATACTGTATTTGTGTGTGCACCATCGTCATTCACGATACGTACATGCTTATCAACATTCTATAAAATAGTATAACCAATTGTCGCTATGATCCAATATTGCAAGATCTCTACTATACTTCCAGTATACTCTTTTTCATACTGGGTACTTCCGCCATATCATTGTTGACATTCAGAATGGCTGTGCGGAAAGCATCCTTGTTGGATAACGGATGCTTCGCGGCCACAGAAGGATTTCTGCTTTGGATCTTTGTTTGGAGTTCAGGTGACCTTTCGCAAAGTTTGATGCATGGCTGAATCTTAAATATAAGTCAACATTGATCCCAAGTTTCCAACAGTGCGTGAATTTACGAATATAATGCAATTGTTTGATCTGTTTGGCAATTATCCCATCGCTCAAGACATGATTTTCGATTTATCGTGGTATATTGTGGAGGTTGCTATTATCACGTATATAGCTGGAATGTATGTCGAAACCAACTCACTCAACCCCGAGTTTCGTTTCATCGCTTTATTGACCCGAACTTTTCTTTCTTTGAAAAAAAAAAAGATTCAGAACTCTTCCCCGAATACAACTACATGTCATGTCCTCGTCGAAACAGTGAGTACTGCGTTATATTAATAGACGTAAAGAGTTAAATTTTTCTGATTCAATGGGTACTCTTCATAAAGCAAAACACTATATGTCCCAAACACATCACAAATCACAAAGATCTATTGGATCTTTATTTTATTTCACGCCATTACCACGCAGACTTGTGCCGCATGCGAAGGTATTGGTTATTGTATAGGTTAAGGTCTAACGTCACGTTTAACGGCGGGTTCTATCTACCCTTTTTCAACTGTAGGTTATCTACGGTCACAAAATCGCATGAATTCTGCATTCATATTCTTTGGAGTAAAATGGGGTATCTACGGGATCGTACATTTTACAACGGCAATTATTCTCCTTTATTACGGAACAAAGTTGGTGAAATTGACGAGAGAGGCTCTGAATTTGTTATGTGACGAAGGCGTTTCGGAAAAATTGAAATCAATTCATAAATTGCAAAAAATTAGATTTATAAAAAACATTCGAAAGGTGAGTAACAATGAAATAACTGGTTACGCCTTTCAATCTAGACCATCTTATTAGCCAATGTTTTGTAGCTGCGGATCTTTAATTACGGCCTGGTTTTTTGTTTCCTTGGATGTTCCGTGGCGCTTCTCTCTATGAGTGCCTTACAACAACACCTTTTTAACATCCCGGTCATTAGTCATCTCTATTTTTCTTTTTGCGCCGTGGGCTCCCCTGTGTGTACAATAATGATATTAGTTGGCATTTTGCAGGCGTAAGTAGCTCCTTATAAATAATCGTAGGGCGAGTTACATAGTGATTGATATTATAACCCTCGCCTTCTTATTTCCTTCAACAGCGAAATTTATCCCGGAAATGAAAACGATTTGGTCGAAATAACAACTGCCGCCTCAACCTACTTTCAATCACCCGAAAGTGAAACAGAGTCTTGATTCACGTGATAGGTTCAACGGTGAGTATTAAAGACAGCTCCCGGTTTATTCAGAAAAAAAAATGTGCAGGTCTGATTAGCAGTTCCCCAATCTACTATAAGAAAGTGCAGAAAATGATGACGGATCACTTAATGGCACCGAAAGTTGTTTTATTATAATTAGGAGACGGGAACCATTGCAAAGTTCGGAGCTAAATAAACATAACGATCCGTGAAACAAATTTGAAATCATTCTTCATATAAAACCACTTTTGAATAAATCATAAGAATATACTGTATTGTATAGGAAAGGCTAGCACCGAGTTTCGGTAACGGCCCGTAGTTGATTTTGGGGAGATTTCTTTTCTTTTCTTTTCTTTTTTTTTTTTTTGGCGAAAGTAATTGATTATACAATTAGAAATAGCGAAATATCGTATATCAAACGTTATTCATTTAACGTACAGTATATTGGACAACGATGATGTATAATTAGATGCGATAGAAAAAAAAATGATGTATAGCCCGTTGATAGATAGCTCCTAACCTGAATTTGTTTCGTGGTTTTCGGCTCCCATGGATCACATGTGAGTTAGAGAATATAAGGAGAAAAAAAGCTCCCCCCCGGTTGATCTCGCTACACACAGAATTAAGGACCGGTGGTTGTGACGACCATTCTATTTCCACGATTTCAGATTCAAAATTTGGCTCCTTAACGAGTCTAAATTTGTTAATTGGTGCAGTTCTCTTGTTGTGTGTTGCCCTTTCAACAGTCGAAACCATGCCTTTGATACATGATCTTCCGAGACCACGTGTGTTTTTAGTAACAGACACGCCTTCTTTCTCCCACAGCCTAAAACATTCTTTTCAATATGCGGTATGATGAGGCGCCACATATGTAAATCGGGCAATATGACATGAATCATTGTTCAAAGTAAGAAAAGAAAGAACACATTTCTCGTTACGCCTTCACTAAAACATAACCGTCAACAGCCACACCAAAAATGGAAAGTGGCGACCTTTGCTGTCTAAGCCACAAATCGGATAATCCGAATTGTTTTTAACACTTCAGGATACTCCCTTCATTCAAGCTGATTCTTAAGTACATTCTTTCCCCTTAATCCAAATTAGTATTAATTGCTATCTGAATTGTAGAACAAAAATAATTGACGTGCCCTGTCAGTATTAGGTGCAACGGGAAGTATTGCCCAATCTGCATACTGTATATAGTACCAAATTATAAATACGTTATTGATTTTTTATTTTCAAACGTACTACAATCAGCCGAGATTTTTTTCCCAAAAAAAAAGACATGGGGGTGTTCTTCGTACATATATACATGCAGCCGCATTTGCATTGTTTTCGAGTGAAATTTCCGGTTGCATGTGAAGTTTTTTCATTTATACTATAGTAGCGTTTATAGAGTGACTGATTCTTAAAAGTCCATTTACCATTATTGGAACTGCGCGGAGCTAATATTATTTCAATATAACATATACTGTATTTATAAATAACATTCTAGGATTTAATATCTTTTTATTAAAAGTTGAAAGTTATATTAATAAAAAAAAAAGTATT